GAGAGGCATATGTTATTTTCTGACCATGCTATTTCCAATGGAAAGCATCACAGCACTTCGAGAAATTCCCAAGGTCCCAAAAAAATTAAAATAAAAACCAAAATAACAATATGAAACATGGTGCGCTGCCCGAGGACATGACCGTATATTTCGGGCAGATGGGGGGGGGGATCCCAACTTTAGGGTTTGATAATAACGGGAAGAAGAAGAAGAAGAAGAAGTAGAGCATAAGACTATTTGTATTAGAATTTTGTGTGTTTTTTTATTTTGTTGTTGTGGGTACATTGAAGAAGGTATTCAACGCGGCACTCGCATTACGTTATGCATCTCAGGCTCCGTATCTAAAAACGATCTGGAAGAAGGCGGAATATTAAAGCCGGCTGCAGGCATTGAGCTGTGGCTGTGGAATGTGCAATGATTGTGTGAATTGTCAACACAGGTGAAGCTAAGGCTACAGTCTCTCTCTCGAATGGTCGTTCAATTCCAGGCGATGCGCAGGAGGAGGAAACTGACGCAGTGACGAGATTGCGAGACGAGTCGTTTTTAATTGCCCCAGATTCGGTGACTTTGACGGTGAAGAGACGGGGGGCGGAGTGGCAGGCTGGCGGTGGTTGGTGAGGGGTAACTGCACAAGAATTTTGAGATGGTTGGAGGTGAGAATTTTTCTCTTGATTCTCTGCGTCTTTCACTATTGCGCAGCCACCCCCACGAGGACAAAACAATGTGGAAAGCCTCCCCGAAGCAGGCAACGGAAATTTGAAACTTTGAACCGCCTAATTCAAAACTTCCACGAAATTGGAGTTTGAGGAATATTAGTGGGAGGCCGCATGGGTGGGTCTTTGGTGGGGAATTTGCCAAACTGGGCACACCACGGCGGTGCGTTGAGATCTGCGCACATCCCATGGGGGCAACAAGCGGTTGTGTGTCTTCTTCCGAATGGGAAACACGCCATATTTAACCAACACAAATCCCTCGACGGGGACTATAACCAGCTTTCCCTTCTATTAAATATAAAAAACAAAGCGAGTAACTGACACCCTAAGTAAGTGGGTATATTCTATTCACGACGCACTAGGTTTCAGAGTGGGGAGTAATAGGCACTAGTAGTAAAAAAATCTTCAAAGGCTTATTCGATGTTTGTGGATTCTTCGATCGACGACATGCCCGACACCGACCCAGCAAAGCTCTCTGTCTGGCACTTCGCAACTAATTGATTCAAATCATTGGCAGTTAACGTAATGTTTCTTATAATACTGAGAGTTAGGTCTTGTCGGGTCTTACATTGTTGTGTGAATCCGTTAGTTTTAGACGTCCTTGTTGAACCTACGAAGCTAATTTCCTTTCAGGTCGTTGCCTATTAGAACCTACCCATTTATCTTATAAAAATATCAATGAAATTAGTAACCTTAAAAACACTCAAAGGAGCAAATCGTACACAGTCAATGTTAAGAACTTCTGAAACGTTTCACGCTATGTTGCGTTCTTTGTTTGGTATTTGTGTTAACCGTCCTGGACAGTAAATAGGGCTTTGCAGCGTTCACCACAGACTGGAACCATCGCTAGGGGGATGATTTGACAACGCACAGAGCCGTTGATAGGTGCATTTTTCATCCACGTTACCACACAAAGCCAAAAGAGCTAGAAAGCCAAAGTTAAGAAGAAGGCAAAACACAATCTTGCAGATATGCCATCACAATATAAATTTTGTTTTGTTTTTCTTTATTTTGATACTTTTTTATTATTTTTATATAGTTTGAACTTATTGTTATTTTAGCCGAATGGGATCATTACCAAGAGATTGGGTCTTTTGGGGTTTTTCTGAAGGGCCATATGGGGCTTATTTTTAAAGCACTTGGATAATTCGTGGATGCTTTTTGTGCATGCAGAGTATGTGCTGCAATTGGAAAGAAGAATCTGTGGAGTGACCCAGTGGAAGATACTGGAAAAAAAATACTTGGGCACCCTACTCAAGAGGCCCTTTGACTGAAACCCATAGAAGCTAAAAACCACACAGTTTGCTTTGTTCTTTACCAAATTAGGGCAAGTCTCTTTGTCACAAAGTAAGGAGGATGATGCTCAACAAGTGGGGTTGTGGATGGATGAAATTATGACATCTCCCTCATATGACAATGTCATCCATCGTGGATGAAACCTGGCGTCACTTTGATTTCACAAAAAAGGTAGAACTCGAGATCCTTAAAATAAAATATTTAATTTGCTGACGTGTCAACTACAGTTGGGTTGCATGTTCCTGTTCTCCGGGCAGGACTCGGTCCACTGGGTTGGAAGGCGGGCAGCTCCTTCTCCTTTTGCTTTATTTTTTATTTGTTTCAAATTTTGCCAATATGGGTTTTCCCCCTAAACTTGAGGCGAGCATTATCGCTTACAAAGAGGATTCTACAGCGAGCTTGCTTAATATAAGAAGGGTTAATTAGAGGGTGGGCTGGATTAATGAGGAGAGGTGCAACCTATGCACAGAGATTGTGAGCATGAATTTTCCAAAATGCCGAGTCTGAGAAACGACCAGGTCTTCAATTTGCCCCGCTTAGGACCAACATGATCTGGTTTATTTTTATTTTTTATTTTTATTTTTTTACAATTACTATGCCTGTATGATTCCCACCTGGTGAATTGGGTCCCAACGTTTCTTACTCCATCCCCACCCCCTACTTTAATTTCACCTTATGAGAAATGATGGCTGATTATTGTTTCTTTCAAAATCTCTCCTGGGACATTCATACACCCCAGAACATAATCCCACAAAAATCAAAAATTAAATAAAGCATTGTGTGATGTGTTCCCACACTTTAAATATGAACTTGAGAGTAACCTATATAATCATTGTATGTTCCAGCCTTTTCTATTGTACCTTTATTCTTTTAGGACAATTCATAGATATATGTATACAAAACATAATCATATGCAATATCAAAGTCTGAGGCCTAAATTTTAACTCACCTCTGAACCCCTCTGCCAACACAAGTACTGAACCCAGCTAATATTTTCTTCACAACCTACTCCCAGTTCAAATGACAAGCTCCATTATGTCACCCCAGTCTTATATTAACCCTTTCTATGCAACCTAGAGTGTTTGGCATCAAGCAACAATCTCTGCAATGACACATTCATAGGGGGGGGGGTGATGAAGGGAAAAACATGGAAAACAAGGGAAAACAGTCATAAATCAAAAGTTAAAAAGTTTATTGCTGAGTAAAGAGAGCATGTTTTTTCATATTTGAAAAAAAGTCTGGCAGATGAATCTCATGATCTGTTTTGTTTTCTTTTTTGCCCCACTGGGTTTAAGAATTAGAGCACAGAGCTTCAAATTTAACTCATGTCTGAAGGCACAGAGATTGCGGCTGCGATTTGCCTGCCACTCCTCAATGGAAGCACTTGGAATTTGCTTTCTGCTGGTTGCTTGTTCATAACTTTCTTTGTCCTACAAAGCAGATTATGAAACCTCCAAATTTGTTTTTCTATTCACTTGTTCAATTTTCATGGGGGTCTGCAGACAATTCCACACAGATTCCCACCTCTGCCCAACAAATGAAGCATGTGTATCCAGGTCCATTTTAAACTCCCATTTCTCATTTTGCCTCTCTGGTAATTGAAAATGGTGCAGAGAAGATTTGAAACCATGGTTGGCATATGTGTGTTTTGTGTGTGGGGTTGCCAAATTTGAGGGGTGTGCTAGAGGCATTTCCATGGTCTACTCTGGGTGTTGAAAGTATGACCACAACTTCAGTTGGACTTTTATGATTGTATTTTATATTGGGGAAGTTGTAATAGATTACCTAACCTACAGTTTTTGTGCTAGAGCCCCCCCCCCCCATCTAGGCTTCTAAGTTTTGGTGGCAGTGACTAAACACCATGGGCAGAATACTGGGCAGGGAACAATAGCAGGAGCTTACCATTGTGCTAGAGCAAAACAAACAAAAAACCAATGCCCATCCCACATCTGTTTGTGCAAAACCCTAGAAGGAGAAAGATAACAAACCAAACAAAAAATGATCAACAATAAGCACTGAGTTTTGGAAACCCGTCTGGTAACAATTTGGGGTTATATATCTCTATGGGCGAGGAGCACATGGCTGGGCAGTTTGCAGGGAACCCACCAAAACACTGCAAAGTTTAATATAAAAACAAATCATTCTTCTAAACCCCAAAATCAATGCAGTCAAAGCTTTGTGGAGCCAATCCAGTGCCAAACTTAAGACAGTAACTGGGTAGCATGGCAGGGTAAAGTAAATAAAAATAAATGGTGGTGTTCATTACCATTCAAGTATCTGAAACCACTTTAAAAACACATAATCCATATTTTACTGTCTACTAGTACACAAAATGGATGAAAACCACCACCACCACCACCACCACCCATAGGGTTGAAATAAATGACAGTAAAGGGACCTCATCCCTCATCACTCTAGTAACAGTCAAAAAACCATTCACTGCATTGAGTTCACTCCCTTCTGTGCACCATTTAACTTACAGTCTTGTTTGTTTGACACAGTAGTATTTACACCCCCCCCCCTCCCCATCTACCTATCAAAAGAATTTATATATTCGTACATACAAAGTGATGATATGACCTCAATCCAACACCACATTCCTGTCAGGCAAAGTATATAAAAAAGGAACTCCATAAAAGTAAACGCGAACAGAGAAAGATAAAAGTAACGCCCTTCGTCGTCTGTTTGCCGTCGTCGTTGTCGCCTGGGGGGGGGGTCTTCGTCGCCGTCGTGATGAGATTGTGTATTGAGAAGCAGAATCTGGCAGTAGTAGAATCGGGGAAGTGAAACTCATGGCACTGTTGGCAAAGGACGGAAGCCGGGAAGCCGGGAAGCGAGGCGAGGTGGGGGGTTGACTTGGCAAGTGCCATCGCGAGCTCCAGGGTCAAAGGCCAAGCCCTGCAAATGAGCAGGACTCAAAAACAGGAAAGAAATTAAGGAAAAAAAGAAAGAAAAGAGAGTGGGGAGAGCGAGCGAGGGAGGATCTGCGATGCGCCACAAATAGCTCCAGCACGGGGAACATTAAATAACGGAACTCGATCAGTAATTGCTCAATCCATGCCCCCAAGCCTCAAGCTTCAAGCAGGTAGCGGCATGCCTGATCGGTTGATGAGAGAGAGATTGAAAGAGTGAGTGAGTGAGTTCACACACTTAGCGCGTTGGCGCACGAGTGCCTTACGTGCTCGCAAACTCACGCGCTTGCGTAATTCGACCGTTAAGTGATACCGCCGCTGGGTTCCTCTCGTTTCGGTGTGTGTGCTCACTGGGCACGGTTTACCGGATTGTAGTCGTGCAATGAAGCTCGCTTGAGTTTTTTGAGGTGAGGATCCGGGGTACATTGGCGGTTTATGTGTATGTTTTTGTTTTTTTTGCTGTTTTGGTAGCGGCATCGTGGTTGCTGGAGGTGTATGTGGGGGCGTGTGGGAGATTGCCGGTAATGTGGTTTGGTGATGGTGATCGCGTAAGGGATGAATTAGAGTCGGAATTCGGTTCCCCGGGTGGAGTTCAACATCTAGTGTGGCAATGTGGGTAGTATGGGTGTTTTTTTGGGGGAGGGGCGGTACAGTGAAGTGAGTGGAATTCTCGTCTTGTGAGAGTGCGGTTCGCGGCATTAGGGAGGATCGGAGAGGTTGGGGGTTGTCTCTTTGTCGGTGCGACGTTCGTTGCGCAATGTGGGGTGTCTGGGAGGTGCCTGAGACGTTGTGAGGGCGGGGGTGAGTGATTCTCGGTCTTCAGAGACAGTGTCGGACAATGTAGCAACTATGAGTTGACGCTTGCAATCTGCGCTTCGTGGATGGCCAGCCTTTGGTCAGGGAGATTTCGCGTACTCTCTAAATCCCCAGAGTTGACAGCAGTCATTGTAGGTATTTCAAGAAACAAGACTTGCTCAATAGTTACCGACTCCAATTCTTTACAGTTTGTAGTGAAGACTTGCTCGTATAGTCAGCCAGCAAAACAATTCTTAGATGCATCTTTCTCGTGAGAAACAGTAAACTCTGCGATACATTGGCTCGTTCCGTTTTAACCCCTCAAACTGGGCGCGGAGTTGGTAAGAGAGTTAGCGGTGTTTAAATAAATTGGGGATTATGGGGTCACAATCATAGGGACGATGTGCCCATAGAGTGGAGAAGGGAGATGTCAGCGTTGAAAGGCGCGCAGAGCTTCAATGCATTGATTCCCAACTTTACACATTTCTTTACCCCCCCCCCCCCCTTTTTTTTTTTGTCGGAGATGGTACAGGACGCAAGTGCTGAAATGTTTCCGTTGTCTTTGGAAAGGATTGAGGAGAGAGACTGAAAATTGTAAGTGGTTTAAGGGCTTTGTGGTGTTCTGAAAAGTGAAGGTGTTGCTTCCTGATCAAGAGGAACGAACACACGGGTTTGGCTGGTTTTTCTTGCGAGAAATAACTCCTATTCCTCTAATAAGCTGCTAAACATTCTTTCTTGCGTCATACTTGTGCAGATATCGTTATCAAATTCATGTGCCAATGCCGCTTTCTTTAAATGAAACGGATTGACTGGACCTATTGCTGCGACAACAAAGACTGATGCTAACACGACCGGAATTTCTAATAAGCACCAGTGTGAGAGCGCCCAGTAGATCAGAGATGTTAAGCGACGTGGCCGTGATGTTCGCTCCTAGAACTGAGACAATGGCTTTGAAGACCAAGATGGAGCCGTGGTCCCATTACGACGACCACTCTTATTTGAGTGAGTTGGGGTCTCCTTTAGGTACAGGACACTTCATTTTCTCTGCGTTTTTTTTATTCTTTCTATGCTAGACAGGAAGTTGAGAATGCCGATGGCGTAAAAGAATTTGCTGATGGAGTGTCCTGCTATTATGTTTTGCAGCCATCTCCACGTCCTTTTGGGATCAGCTGTTGCACGCCAAAGGCGACTATAATACCTTATTTACCATGACGACTCCAGCTGTGGACAGAAGCTTTCAGCCTTCGACTCCTACGTTTAATTTATACACTCATGACATGAGCCAAGGTATGTAGTGAATTCATTTAATCTTCCAATGCATTGTGGCATTGTCTTTGATTCAGTCAATACATGCCATTTCCCTTAAGCTATTTGACTGGTCAGCTGCAAGTGGTAACTCGAGCTTCTTCATCGTTGCTGATGTTTCAGGTAGTGACAGCACTGTGTCATCTTCTTATAGTGATCAACAAGGAGATCGCTGCAAGAGACGGCGTATGCTGCAGTTCAACGGGGTGAACACATGTGGTTTTGGGCAAGACTCGCCTCCTCCTTACGAGAGTGTCACCGGCTCGCCCACAACTACCTACTCTTCCTACTCCTCCTCTTACTCATATTCTCCATCCTCCTACGAGGTGAGTCGCTAATCTTTCCCTACACATCACCTCCTTTGACGCAGATTTTTCGTGGTCATAATCCATGCAACCAGATAAAAGTCTAACATGAGAATCTTGGTGCATTGGTCAACAGAGCTCACCTCTTTCTTCAGTAAAGAGTGGCGATGACTACTTGCTGCAACACTACGAATCACCTGGCTTGCCACCGTCGTCGTGGTTTTCTGGATCCGGTGAGTCCTAAACTTCTTTTGTTTGCGCTTCCACCGAGTAGACAAATATGGAGTAACTGATCTTCGGATCTTTCTTTGTAGCTAGTTTTGTCTGACCACAGGCTAGTCAGATATCGAAAAGTGGTATTTACGGAAGCTTGCTGTGCATATGCAGACGGTATCAGCTCTTGCATGGTTCCAAATCAGCCGCAACAACCTCTTGACAATTGGTCTTTGTTAAATTCGTTCGAGAAGAACCAGTCATACGGCTCTCCATTGCAAACGTAAGTTTTTACCATTTGATATATCTCGTGATGAGTTTTGGGTTTATTTTGCAATACTGTGTGATGCTAAGTTACTCCGTCGTGAGTTATTTGCCAAGTGATCAGCGACATTGACTCCTGATGACTTTGTTGGTTTTCAGTAAAGCAACTGCGCTCCCGGTGAACACTTATATATCAAATCCTCTTGGAGAGCTTTGTGCTCCACAAACTTGGAAACGGCCACTGCCGCCCACGCCTCAGCCTAACTTCTCGCAACAACACACTCAGCCACAAATGCATTATCAGCAGACTTTACAGCAAGTCGTCCAACCCAAACAAGAAGCTGTAGTTTCGCAATGCACATTTTCGCCTTTCTCAAAGCCTCCCACTCCAGGTAAACCTCCCGATTCACTAGAACATCTCCAATTCAAACATATCTGGGTGACCAACAAAGTGCATACAGTTCGATGTGGACCATCATCGGTGTTGACAGTGGTCTTTTTTGTTGCTGTGGATTCAGGTCGGAAGTCGTGTTCAGGCCCTAGCAGATTTAAGACGAAGTCACCTAAACCTGTGGCGTTGCCGTTTACTATGCTGAAACCCTCTGCTGCTCACGGGGACGTTACATTAAACGACATCAATAGGATATTGCTGAGCTCCCCAGCAGCATCAACAGACCGACTCTCGCCTAGTGAGGAGAGACGACCTTGTACTCCACCAGGTGCTGGTCTCTCAGGAAAATTTGTTGTTGCATGTACCAAGATACACACCGAAGGCGCTGGCACCATCACGATCATGAGAACCAAGGGGTAAATCGGTGTTACACACTGTTCTCTTTTAACGATTCTCGATCCTCTGATCATTCCATGGAGAAACTAAGGTCCTAGGACCTCCAATGATGCATGACACCCATCTTGTTACGCCGACCCAGTTCCTCTCACACACGCCGTGAACATCTTCGAGAAAGTATATTTTACAATTCATGCGTGACGATTGAGTGTACAAGTAAAATCCTGTTTCAACCTCTGTCAAGCTTTTGATCGACAGCCTCTTCGTGCTTCGAAGAAGACACGCCCCAGGCTCTTTCATCGACAAGACTGTAAACTAGCTGAACCTCCCTCCTGTAATCCCTTAGTAGCCGTTCTTAGTTAGTATCTCTACGCATCTAGTTTTTGTAAATTAGCATTTGGATGCACAGACTGCAACAAGCATTAAAGACGGTCCTCCATTTATTTGTTCCAATTCAATTGCACCGATTCGTGTGCACCGATTTCCTCTATACTTGCAGAGAGTTCTCTCAGTAGAGAGCACCTGGGTTTCTGGTGGAAATTGTTCCGATACAGTGGCCATGTTTTGAACATTGTGTTGCCAATTGCCAGTATAGATGCAGATCGAGACTGTAGATCTCAGCTGCTCAATGCTTTGGACCTTTTGCACTGGGTTCACGCAAACCCGGCTGAAGAATCTTACAACATCCTTCACTATGATGGTGTGTGGATCTTGCTACAGAAAGTATATCATCATCTACTTCAGGATTCTTTTGACCTTGCAAGGCAAATTTGTGTGAGAAGTACTATGGCTGGGATTGCAACAACGACGGGTTCATCTGCTTCCACAGATGTTGAAGCTCGGAATGCTTATCCTGCTATTGCTTGATTTCTTCAAGCCAATCACATTCTTGCTTATTTTGTTGCATACTTCGGTACTGTTAGTGGATAAGCTTTCATGTGTAATAAAGTGTTATAATAATGAAATATTTTTTGGGCCATCTTTTGGTTTTTTGTTCTTGGATTTTAGTTGAGTAGGAAGATTCTTCTCTGTGTTTCAAAATCTTTGAAGGAAAAGGAAAAATGTGAGAAACCTCATCTTTGTGTGTAGGTGTTATGATTTTTATTGCTGGATATATAATTTGATTAAGCAACATGATAAAAAAAAACAATGTTTGTTTAATATTCAACACTCAAAGGACGTATTTTACTAGTAGAGTAAAATGTATTTATGTGAGGGATATATCAAAGTCATAGCAGTAAATTTGACAACTTCAGAATCCAGTTCCAACTTTTTGCATCTTATTTACGTATTAAAGGAATAGAAAAAAGATTAAATTGAGTGGTACAATTTCGTAAAATTTAAAATTTTATATTTTATTAAATAATACAAAAAATATATGTATATTTACATAGAAAAATAAAATTACCTAGTTGCTTTATAATTTGAAGATATTAAATTTCAAAAGTGGTTTTAAAAATAGTTTCTAATTTTGAGAGCAAAAATTTATATTTTGAAATATTTGTTGTATAAACAAAGATCATTATATACAACACATTGAGTACTACAAACTAGTCACAAAGTATGTAATCTAAACCAAATACAAATACAAAACCAACACACTTTCAAGTGCCATTCTTAGTTGATTAGGAGCTCCTCTAGTTAACTAGGACCACAAAATACACATTATTAAAGATGAATGCCACAATGATGTTGCCAAACTGTATTCATTCAAACTAGTATTATAGCAGTTAGTCTATCAAAGTGTGAGACAAACATAGTAGAAGAAATTTTCAATTCTTATCTATAGATGAAGCATGGCTGGAAGATTTCTTACAACGAGAATAAATCCAATCTCCTAAAAGGAGAGTTGAAAGAGGTGGTATTAAATATGCCATATGGAAACAATGTTGGTATTAATTACACAAAAGCATGGTAGTAGCACCTTTCTTTTTATGACATACAAAATAAGAAAGACAAATTGATACAACTACGAATTCAAGATTTACAAAATCATCAATAGAAAGATGACAAGGAACATAATTCTTTCAATGCTCCCACTACTCTTGTCCATCCTTGCCTTCCAATAATAAAATACTACTAGGCAATACATCTTTTATATATAGAATTATGAGTCCTATCTTAATATTAAGTATTGTAGATACATCATATTGTAAAAATACATAATCTCTCTTAAAAAATCTCTGCAAGTGAGATTGATAAATTCTACTACAAATACAAGTATATTGTAAAGTGTTGCAATGTTAAACAATAGATAAGTTTTCTATAGCCATAGGAATAGCTTTCTTAAAGAACTTCACTTGATTGTATAGACATTGAGCCTAAACATCAGAATAATCTAAGAGCTAACTTCTCACATACTAAGTTAGGTAGGATTTGCTCCCATTTATACAACAACTAGTAAGGACTATAAGATGCAAAAGATACTTATCTACTAAAGTAATATCCTTTGTAATCTATGGTAATATCAAATTCCAATCATGATGGTTGCCATGAAGTAATCCATACTTCCATAAATCACACTTGATAGTTTGAACAACTCGTTTAGCTAAGCCATCTGCTTAGGATGATTTTTAGAGGTGGTACAATAATCTATTAAAGCTTTAGTATATAAAGCTTCAAATGCCTTAAGGAACTATCTTCCTTGATTTATTAAGATTTCAATATGTACTACAAAATGTACTAATATATGATAAAAAAAACCATAGTTGGCAACTATGGTTTTTCTTGATTATATATTAATACATATTTAGCTCCCTATGAGGTAACAATAAGTAATTTGACAAAATCAAAAACCAATAATAATCCAAATCCATGATAGATAAAGGCTTCAACTGAGGTAATAAAGTATTAATGCTTGATCTAATCTAATTAGACATTAAGAAATATATATTGCCACTTGTTGATATATACAATTCTACCAATATTGGTTGCACAACATAGAATGTGTCATGTGTATCTCAAAATATCCAAGCTCCTTATGTACTTATTATATCAAAGAGATCTTTGATTTGGTCTTAGAACTATGTACTTAGCTCCATCAAGCCACATATAAAATAACAAAATATTTTTCCAATAAAATCTTATTATTTGGTGACTAATGTGATCTCTTTTCATTTTATAAATAGCTAAAGGAAATATTCTTTATTGAAGCTTATGTAAGATTGTAAGATCCTCTCACATCTTTTTAATTACTTAATTCTTGTCCAATTTTTTATTTGAATTATGATCAAAAACCACAGTTGTAGAATTTGACATTAAAGTCAAGTATATGCGTGCATGCCATCCAAGGACTAATTTTCTATTGCAATTTCTATGATACCAAGGTCTAATTAAGTCTTCTTTTGAAGGACTTACATTACAAGAAAGTTTATTGGCATCCAAATTAGTAATACTTATCTAATACATAATCTCAAAGTCATATTGTTAAAGCTTGTTAGTAAGATTCTTTGATTTTATAAAAACTTCAAAGTTTAATGATTAATTATTAATATAAATTATTTACCATACAAATAAGATTGGAAGTGAGCAATAATCCAAACTATTGTCAAAAGTTTTTTTTTTAAAAGATGAGTAATTGGAATCCACATTGTTATTGCTTTTAGAAGCAAATGCAATGACATACTCGCATCCTACATCATACTTCTATAGTAAAATTGCTCCTAGTCCTATTACACTCCAATTTGTGTATAATTGAAAAGATCTAATAGCATCTAGATGTTAAAGCACTAAATCTGAATCCAATTTTTGCTTCAATGTGTCAAATGTATGTTATTGCTCCCAACACCAAGTCCATAGCTGATCTTTGCTTGTAAGAATAGATAAAGCCTTGGGAATTAAGATAAAATTTTAAGCAAATATTTAGTAGTAGTTTGTTAATCCTAAAAAAGTCTAAAGTTGTGAAATATCACTAGGTACCAAGTTTTTTTACAAGGCATCTATTTTAGCTTATTATATGCTAAGACCTTATAGAATAATCAAATAATTCAAATATAGTAATCATTCATGGAAGAATTTATACTTTGTATGATGCAAGCATAATCTCCATTGCCATAATCACTGAAATACTATTTATAAATGTCTCTTATGATCTTATAGATTGTTACTAAAAATAATGACATTATCAATATAGCTTATAATTCTTAACAATGAACCTAGATATATGCTTTTTTTAAGGCACTAAACTTGTAAGGTTGTCAAAAGATTGGTTGATCATCTTCCAATTGAATGTGAATATATTTGCTTCTATAATCTTTAAGATCTTGAAGGCTAAATGTAAAACAATTACAATATAAGTAAATAAAAGCTTGTATCTTTTATGCTTTGGTATTAATAAGATGTGGTCCTAATTCCAATGGCCAATTATCAAAATTTGTGGTTTCTTTTCTTACTAATGGAACACCATTGTAAGTCATTACAACCTTTAATTATTAATCTATTAAAAAAATATATTCTATGCTTTCAACATCCTTACCTATAGCCAAATGAAGGGATTCATTACTACAATATTTGTATAAAGTAAAAATATTGGCAAAATATAGAATGTCTTCTAAAAATAAATCTTATGAAAGAATCTCATGAGCATTTGTTTTTTTTTAAGTCTTTGGCCAAAGCAAGAAAGACATATTGAACTTATAGGTCATCAATTGGATGCCTCTTTAAATAAAAAGTGGCTCAATTTCTTCAATCTTAGTAAGTTTAGAATCTACTACTCCTTTTCTATTGTTTTGTAACCTCAAAGTACTAAAATGGTTATAAAGATTTATTGAACAACAAGACATATGCTAAAAATCCATACTAAAGTTTTGAGATTTATAGCTTGGCCTATGAAAAAAATAACATTGTGCTTTAGTGATATCATAAACAAGTGTGGTGCTAGTTAAATAGTCCATAGCATGCTTCTTTTCATTGCTATTAGATTCTTTATAGGTTTGAGAATTAACATCCTAAGTCCGCATTGTTGTATTACATGTATTCTTACTTGAGAATGAACTAAGCACCTAGCTATGGAAAGTAAGTAGAATTGCAATAATAATCCTATCAAGTCTAATAGAATCTTAAATAAACTTTAAGTAATCCTTAATAATCCTAATCAAACTTTAACCAATTCAAAGTAAATTTAAAAGAAGTTAGAAAAGAAATACAAAGAAGTCATAAATTAATCTTTAAAAAAATTAATAAAAAATCTTAAATAAATATAAAAATAAAACCTTAAAAAATAATAATAACTTTAAAGAAATATTAGAAATAAAAAATTTTAAAAAATAATAAAGAATCCTAAAAAAATATGAAATTTGTTTTTAAAAAATAAATCCTGAATAAATTCTAAGCAAATTAAAATTTAATCCTAGAATTTAGTTAAATTTCTAGATCAAATCCTAAGTAAATCTTAATTGAAACTTAATTAAAATTCTAATTAATCTTAATAAAATTTTAGGTCAAATTCTAATTAAATCTTAATTAAAATCTTAATAAAATTGTATTGAAATCCTAAATCCTAGGTCAATCGCAATAAAATCCTAAATAAAGCTTAATCAAAGCTTAGATCAATCTTAATCAATTCTTAAATCTTAACCAAATCTTAATAAAATCTTAAATAATCTCAAGAAAATTGGATTGTGTATAAGTATTTAAGTTTAATTTTTTTTCACCAAATTTTGTTTCAATCAAACTAGCAGATTTTCCTAAATTTTAAAAATCCTCATTGATCCTTAATTTCAATTATCAAAGATTATAATCCACAAAAACTCTAATAAATTTTAATCTAATTACTTGATTGATATAAAATTTCTTACACAAATTCATGACAAGTTCAATGAAAAATTAACAAATCTTTATTTATAAATAAGCTACAAAAGTCATAAAATATTGATCTTTTTTTATTTTTTTATTATTTTATTATTTATTTCTCAAATTCTAAATCTACCAAGTAAATCTTTAACTGTGAAAAGCCTTCAAAACCTCAATATTCATCCAAAT